GCACGCGGCACAGCGGCGCGGCCCTGCGCGGGCGCGGCGATGCGGGTGAGTGAGGCGGACGAGACGAGCGGACGGTGGCGGGACGCGCCCGTGCGGCGGCAGGCGCGGCGGCCCCGAGCGTGGGCGGCTCTGGCTCCGGTTCGGCCGAGCACCAGAGCCTCTGCTGACGGTGAGGTCGACGGCCGGCGGGGCGGTGCTGTGCGCGGCGGCAGACGACGCGGCGAGCGGCTGTCAGGCGGTGCGGCACAGCAAGCCGTTGGCCGGCGCGGCGGGATGGGCAGCCGGCGTGCGGGCGGCGCTCGGATTGCATCTCTCTCTTTTTCTTTTGCTTTTCTTCTTCTATTCCTCTTCGGTCATGGCGCGTCTGTGGCAGTGGCACGGCATCTTGCAGAATGCGGCCGATGCACGGCGAGGTGCGGCCATCTCGCTACCGTTGTGCATGGTGCAACCTTGCTATCACACAATGTTGGCGTGATGCATGGCTAGTTCCGATGCGATTCGTCAATCATGCCGGCGACTTCTTGGCAGCCTCGAAAGGACTCGCAACCAATCGGCAAGATGCCGGCGACTTCAAGTCGGCAATGGTGGTGTTGGACGAAAATCGCAAAAACGGAACAAGAACGAAAAGAGGAATTCGTTTTCGCGGTAGATCGGCGAGATGCAATGCGGATCTGCGAGTTCTTACCCTTCTTCTTTCTCGGTCTCCGGTAGAACATCGTGCTGATAACGTATTACGCAACCCTACTGCTACACGAAGTAGTCCAAGAGGGTCCCGTAATTCTACAAAAAGTGGAGACACAAGATATGAGGGTGTGTTATCCTTTCTCATTCATCCATTGCATTCTCAAGTGTACAATCCTCCTCTCTACTCCTTTATTTATAGCCATTCCCTCTTCCACCTTTTCATGTTTAGTGATGGGCCCAATTAGTGGGTAACCGGGCCGGGTCTTCGTGGGCCGGCGGTTTCCTAACCGTTACTACTCTCTAAATATTAAGATTTAAAATATTTTAGCTCTAAAAAACATTACTACTGTAGTACCACTGTTACTATGCATGTTCTTTGTTACTACAAATTTTGCCATGTTGTTACTGCCAAAAGTGTAGTAACAACCTATAAATTTTGCAGTAACAACCTACTGATTTTGTAGTAACGTATCATGTTACTACCTTTCTGGGATAATGTTACTGCTGACTCATAGTAACAATGTAATTATTACAGTAACATAACTGGTTCTCACATAATCTGAATAGACATACAAAGCATGCAAACAATGTTTTCTATTCACAAATTGTCATATGGTGATTTGGTTAAGAAAGCTTGCCATGAACCATGAGATCATGGGTTCAAGTAATGAATTCATCAATTTATTTTTAATTTTTATAAAAAAAAGAAAATAATAGAAGGAAAAATGAGAGATGGGAAGGAGAGAAAAAATCAGGAGGAGCGATCGTGGGGAGGAGGAGGAGCGATCGGGAGGGGGAAGGGGGAGAATCGCTGGGAGGGGGAGAGGAAGGAGCTGGGAGGGGGAGGGAGGAAGGAGCGATGGGAGGCAGGAGGCGGGAGGAGGAGGAGCGATCGGGAGGGGGAAGGGGGAGAATCGCTGGGAGGGGGAGGGAGGAAGGAGCGATGGGAGGCGGGAGGAGGAGAGAGAGATAAGGAGGGAGTGAGGGGGGAGGGGAGGGGGGTGTAGAATAGTTATTCTAAGGGAGAGTGTATAATAGAACTATATATATATATATATATATATATATATATATATATATATATATATATATATATATATATATATATATATATATATATATATATATACATTTAAAAAAATAAGAGATGCTTCCGTCGTTTGTCAAAAAACCGGTGAAAATAAACCGGGCGAAAAAACCGTAACTGTTCGATAGAAAAAAGGGCGAAAAAAAAATCCGATTCCGTGAAAAAAATATAATCCGATTCCGTGCCAAAAAAAAGGGCGAAAAAAAATCTCTATCTCTATCTCTACATCTACTTCTATCTCTTCTCTATCTCTACTAAGAGGTATTTCGGTCGTCCGTAAAAAAAACCGGGCCAAAAAACCGAGCGAAAAAAACCGGGCGAAAAAAAGTCCGACCAAAAAACGGAGTGAAAAAAAAACGGGAGAAAAAAAATGTCTGATAAAAAAACGGAGCTAAAAAAAAGGCAAAAAAAAAACAATTCTGTCCGACCAAAAAAATAGGAACGGGGCGAAAAAAACGAGCGAAGAAACCTGGCGAAAAAATAGTCTGATCCAAAAAAAATCGAAGCGAAAAAGGGAGAAAAAAAATTTCCGATCAAAAAAAAACGGGGCAAAAAAAAGCAGAAAAAAACGAAACAGTCAGTAAAAAAAGAGCGAAAAAATTTAAAAAATTTTCCGATTCCAAAGAAAAAGGAATTATATATGACACGGTAAAAAAAATCGACCGAGCGAAAAAAAGCCGAGAAAAAAAACTGGGCGAAAAAAAGTCCGATAAAAAAACGGGGCGAAAAAAAAACAAATATGTCCGACCCAAAAAAAGGCAAAAAAAAGGAAGAAAAATCGAAACGAATCCGACTCTGCCGACGCGGTAAAAAAAGGGCGAAAAAAATTTAAAAAATTGTCCGATTCCAAAGAAAAAGGAATTATATGTGACACGGTAAAAAAAATCGACCGGGCGAAAAAAAAAGCGAGCAAAAAAACTGGGCGAAAAAATGAAAAAAAGTCTGATAAAAAAAACGGGGCGAAACAAAAAACAATTATGTCCGATCCAAAAAAAAGGCAAAAAAGGGAAGAAAAATCGAAACGAATCCGACTCCGTCGACGCGGTAAAAAAAGGGCGAAAAAAATTAAAAAAAAGTCTGATTACAAAGAAAAATAAATTATATGTGACGCGGTAAAAAAAATCAAATCCTATTATGTCTAGAAAGGTCCGACACTATAATAAAGTGGTGAAAAAAACCGTTCGAAAAAAAATGCACGAGAAAAAAAATAAAAAGGGCGGAAAAAAGCACGGCGGAAAAAAGTCTAATTTCTATTCATCGTTTTAGTAGTCCGTTTATATCTCTTCTTTATCTCTAATCTAATCTAATCTAACTATAGAAGTTTCTATGGTATATTAAAAAAGAAAAAAAATGTGCGAGAAGATTAAAACGGTTTTAAAAAAACGCGTGAGGAAAAAAATGCCAGAAAAAAGCGCAAAAGAAAACACGTTAGAATAAAAAGTTCCATAGTCCCAAAAAAAACACGCGAGAAAAAAATATTTCCATCGTCTGTAAAAAGGAAAAAAAAAAAGCATATGAGGAAAAAAACTGTTAGAAAAAAACGCTAAATTGATGGATACTTGGTCGGATAGGCTCCATCCACTTTTTTCCATCTCTTACACGACTTTTATTTGTCATCTATTCTCCTGTAGTGGAGACCCTGCACATTTTTGTAGGCAATTATCATACTATTTTTGTGAAGTATAGCTATTATTCTTGATAACATATTATAGCTCTTATTCTTGATTACATATTATATGGAAATAATCTTAGAAAATAAACATATTTTAATTGTTATTTAGAGAAGAGTGCACAGTGACTCTATTTTGTGTAGACTTGACCATACGAGACAGTGTAGGATTTGATTGGTTGTAAGAATGAGATTAAAAGAATATTTTAGATTATATGCATGTTGTTATATAAATAATTCAATTATTTTAGGTAAAGCAAACATCGTAAGGTTGCCATCATCGAGGTTGGGCTATTACATTTAAGATGTTCCAATTTTCTGATTGTCATCGACATGGTTATGAATGAAAAACGTGTATATATATATATATATATATATATATATATATATATGGCAAAATCTAAATCGCGTGCGCTCTCTGTTTTGTCTTATCGCGCGACACGCTCATCGGCCGTCCGATCCAACAAGCGCTGGTGCGTCCGAACATGGCCTGGTGATTCATGGACGTGGCATCATCTAGAGTAATCCAAATTGGAAGCCATGTGATGCTCTACGCTACGCCGGCTTCAAAAATAATTTTCTCTTAAACTAATCATCCGATCTACGATCCGATTACACCGTTGTGTTCGTAAGAGTTGAATCTTTATAATAAGATCTCACATGATTATATTTTGATGAAAAATTAGAAATTACTTTCATAATATATCTAAATTACTTTTAGATTTCACTAAATTACTTCTTAGATCCATAAAGTAAATTCAATAAAGCCTAAAAGTAATTTACATATATTAATATATAAGTAACTTAGAACAAAAAGAAAATAACCTTATCATGACATTAAAGTAAATCCGTTATGGAGGTAAAAACATGAGTTTATATAGAAATTAAATTTAATCAGCATAAATTACATCATTGACTAAAAATGATTATAAAATAAACAACTCACAACATGAATGTACAGATTTCTTTTAATGCCGTAACATGTTACTTTACTCACTTTTGTTTTAAGTTACTTCTATAATATAGGTAAATTACTTCCAGGCTTTATTAAATTACTTTTATGGCTAAGAAGTAATTTAATGAAATCTAAAAGTAATTTAGATATACTATAAAAGTAATTTCTATTTTTTCATAAAAATATAGTCATGTGAGATCTTGTTATAAAGATTTAATTGTTATGAACACAATAGTGTAATCGGATCGTAAATCGGATGGATAATCTAAAAGAAAATTCCATAAGAAGAAGAAAAATACATGCACTTTTGAGTATACTAGTAGCAACTGGATAAGCGATTGAGGTAGCTGGTTATGACCATACAGACAACGGTCTCGTTGTAGACACGTCCTATATATATATATATATATATGTGTGTGTGTGTGTGTGTGTGTGGTTCTATACTCCTAGGGAGTAAGTACTCCCTCTCCCATCCACCGTTCATCTGATCGATCAGATATGTACTCCCTCCCTCATTATAACGGGTTTGGCTCGGTGGATCCGATTAGTTTTTCTAATTAAAAGACGGACTGCTTATCCCGTAATTTGGGGTTTGCTCCCAACAGGCCGAACTGCTTATCCCGAAAATTGGGGTTTTGGGGGGCGGCGCGGCGACGGACCAGCGCGACGATGGACCAGCGATTCAGCGGCGACTGGATGGCTGGCGGCGGTACAGAGATAGCAGCTCGTTCCTTCCTCCAGTGATGACTCCTCCCCTTCCTCCAGCGATGGCTCCTCTCTCAACAGCATGTGTTCCTGAAGCAGAAGTAATCGATTTGGAGTCGGCTGAATGCAGGAGCGGGGCAACCATGGCAAAATCGACGGGCCATAGCAGTGGATTTCATCCAAAGCAGCAGGTTAGTATTCGTTTATTTTTGTATGGCAAGATCAAGACACGTTGCCTAAAATTTTCTCCTTCGCCGCAGGGTCACAGGAAAATCAGTTTGTCACCACAGTCCAAGGTATGCCTCCTGAAATTGAATATATGTATGCCTGTAGAGAGGGATTAGGTGTATAGTTCGGTTCATGTACGCTCTCAGTTTCAGATGCTAATTTTTCCCCTTTTAGTGCATATGATGTTTTTTTGGTTGATGAAGTAAATGCTGTTTTAGCCCCCACCCCCCTAAAGAAAAATGTAGATGGTAGTACGTACTGAATTTTCAACGGTATATACTCATTTTTTCTTTGGAGGGATACTTATTGGAATCTGCTAGACGGTATTATGTAATGAATTTTGGTGTGGCAGGGTTCTTACTGAACTCTCTGTTAGACGATAGTATATACTGAATTTTTATGTGGGGAGCTTTGTTCTCAACTTTGTTAGACGATAGCATATACTGCATTTTCCACATGTATACTGAATCTTTCCACAATGATTTATAGACTGAACTTTGATACGCACCAGTATTTACTGAATTTTTCACAGATATACTGAATTTTTCTATGGGAGGCTTTGTACTGAACTTTGTTATACGACAGCATATAGTATGTACTGAATTTTCTATGTGGTACATACTGAACTTTTCTAGAAGATAGCATATACTGCATTTTTCCACATATATACAGAGGCTTTTCCATAGTGGTTTACATACTGGACCTTGTTACGAAGAAGTATATACTGCATTTTTACACAGAGAGGTATATGCTGATTTTTTACATACAGTAGTATGCTCTAAACTGTGCATATACTGACTTTTCTGTCAGTACACATGATTTTTTTTATTTAGAGGGTACACAAAGGTAGAATTTGCTACGCAGTATTATGTACTTCATCTTTCCATACATATATGAGTGTATGCTGTTTTTTTTAAAACAGAAGTATATGTTGAATTTTTAAATACACTGGTCCATGTAGTATTGTCTATTTATGAAATGAAAAACTAATTATCTGCAGGCTTTGAAGGTTTCTGGCACAAGAGGCAGCCTAAATAAGACTGTTGCACGGGTGGTATCCAGGTATCGGCAAAGCAGAGTTTTAAATAGACAGAAGAAAGACAACACTATCTTTGGTATCAACTGCAGGTGTCAGCCCAAATGCGTAGTGAATATCATTAAAGAATTCGATGATAGGAAGAAGGAGTTGATTGGTGAAATTGGATTTGATGGACTTTTGGATATCAAGCTTACTAAGGTAAACAGGCAGTTTGGGGCATGGCTACTAAGCAAAGTTGATCCGAAATCATGCGCTACTGTTAAAGATGTCAACCAGGAGTTGCCATTCGGTTCCAATGATGTGAATGCAGTTTTTGGCTTGCCATGCTCAGGTCAACCTATTATCCCTTGCTCTCAAGATGAATTGGATGGGAAGAAACAAATATTGTGTGAAATATTTAAGATACCAAACTTTTCACACCTGAAAATATCACTCTTAAAGAGAATCCTAAAGAAGCAGTATGGTTATCCCATGACAATAGATGAAAAGAGGGTTTTCATGGCGGCTTTTGTGCTTTATGTCACAACGAAGCTTTTGGCACCGCAATCCTGTGCAAACTTCATATCTCCTAGGTCTATTATGGCTGTTTCTGATGTTGACAATATAAAACAGTACAACTGGTCCCAATTCGTTGTAGATGAGGTGAAGAAAGCAGCAGAATCAATGCCCACCTGCTTTCCGAATAAGGCTCAACTATCCATTAACGGGTGTATCATCTTTCTAATGGTTAGCATTTAAAACTGACTTGTTAATGCAGCATATAATCAACACACATATTGTCATTGTGAATCATTTTTTCAGGTAAAATACTTGAGAAATCTCCTGTTCCGGAAGGTTGGGATCACATGTGTTAAAACATGTCACATTTCTCAGTTTGAGGATGATCAAATTGCTAGGATGATTCAACAAGATGTAGTTAGTAAACATAACCCAGGATTCCCCTTCCCTCGTTATGGGAAACTCCAGGTATGTACGATACCCTGGCCGTAATATGCCTATTTCGGGCTGCAAAATTTAGCTAATTTCCAACATACATGCTGTTCAGTTGATGAAGGATCCAAGAGAAAACAACCCCCATGTGCCAGAGCTATCTCCCCTAAACTTATGCTCCTGTTCGAAGATCCCATCTAGAGCCATTGATGGCGGTAAAAATTTAATAAAATTCCTGGTTTCACACTTCTCTTCGTTAGACGTACATAGAAGTGTCGGGTCACAGGTATGTCAACCATCCGTATGCTATGTTACTTGATTGTTTCTTCATTAAGTTGTAATTTTCATATGATCAAGGGATTTTAAACTAACATGTGGTATATATGATAACATAAAACAGGCATACGAGGAGTTGAAATCTTCCGTTCAGGATGGATTCGATCGGATCGATAAGATTTTGCCTACCATATCAGATTTCGTCGACATAAGCACCATGCAAACTGCTATTCACGCATCTAACCTATTCAAGAGAGCTTTCAAGACTAATATTACAGTGGCAGTTAAGATAGTGATAAGGGCAGCAATAACGAAAGTTATTGATACCATTGAGGATATACAAGGGCCTCTCCATCCATGGGGAGACACAACTGCCATGGGATACCACACACCCACAAACTACTCCACACATGCTACAAAAGATGCTAGTCAATTGGACCAACCAACCAACACGGTCAAACGTTAAACGTTAAACGTGAATAGTGTAAAACTGCACTTATTTTGGATGGAGGAAGTATATCTTTAGGCCGTGTTTAGTTGCAAATTTTTTCTTCAAACTTTTAACTTTTTCATCACATCAAAATTTTCCTACACACACAAATTTCCAACTTTTCCGTCGCATCGTTCCAAGTTTAACCAAACTTCCAATTTTGATGTGAACAAAACACAGCCTTAATATATCACCAAGCTTACACTACAAAAATGAATATATCTTCAATCACCATGTGAAAATATTCCAAAAATGATATGTAGATATATCAGGTAACCTAAAAATATGTCATTCGTTGAGACATGTCATTAGTTCAGACAGTAGCCTTCACTATTTGTAAATACATTTCCAAAAATATACATAGTTTTTCCTTAAAAAATAGATAGCTTCAGACAAGTACTTGCGGCGGTGTTCCAGACACAAAAACATCCCATGTATGCACATTATTTGTGCCATCATATAATTGATATTTATATATATCTCCATTCACCAAAAAATGCATGCACATTAAGGCTGTGTTTAGTTCACGCCAAAATTAGAAGTTTGGTTGAAATTGGAACGATGTGACGCAAAAAGTTGGAAGTTTACATGTGTAGAAAAGTTTTGATGTGATGAAAAAGTTGAAGTTTGAAAAAATATTTCGGAACTAAGCATGGCGTAAGGCTGCGTTTGATACTTGGGGTTAGGAACCCAACTCGACCGCACGGAAAACGGAGCGGTCTATTAGCGCGTGATTAATTAAGTATTAGCTAATTTTTTTAAAAAAAATGGATTAATTTGATTTTTTAAAGCAACTTTCGTATAGAAACTTTTTGAAAAAAACGCACCATTTAGCAGTTTGAAAAACGTGTGCGCGGAAAACGAGGGAGAGGGGTCTAGAACCTTGTGGAAGGAACGCAGCCAACCATGGAAATAAACCAGGTGCATTACATCCAAAAAATGAGAGCTCATTCTTGATCCAGTTGTTTTAGGAAAAATCTAGGCACTGTGTTTTCCAGCCCAGCCAATTGGCTTATTCATATTTTGGTAGGTAGAAGCTGGAAAATAAACAACAGCATTCACCGTTTCTATCTACTTGCTGACAAGCTTTGTAGAAATGGTATATCTCTATTCAGCAAAAATAATGTTTACAAACTTACATACGATCTATTATATGTGTGCTGACATTTTTATTTTTAGAGATGATAAAAATAGATGGGCAGATGGCACAGTTCTAGAAGGCCTAGAGGGTGAGCATTTCAGCAAAAACAAATAGATCCATCTAGGGAAAAAAAATAGTGTCAGATCAAAAAACATGATACATCTGTAAATAGCATTTCAAAAATACATTTCTCTGAATCAACGAATGATAGATTTCTAATTGACAGTCAGAGCATGATGTTTCTAAGCCCCATAATTTTCAAAACATTTCAGAGCTTTGACACCTGTTGGGATACGCGTAGGCTACAATAGTATAAATTAAAATTTTCTATCGCGTAAACCAGGAACCATGCAAGTATTAGATCATAGATCGTTACCACTCGACGCACTGCGCAGTGGAAGAAGACGCTGAGAAGTCGAAGGAACTCTCGCGAAGTAGCGCGCGTCGATGTAGAGGAAGTAGTCGATCGCACCAGCTCGACCTTCTCCTCCTCTGCGTTCTCCTCGCCGTACTCCCACGCCGATCAGCACCACAAACCAGCAGCGCCTCTACCGGTATCCACACGTATAGGGACGGAACGCCACGTGCAGATGTGCTAGCACCCGCGCGTGGCTAGGGTTTTGCTCGGGGAGGGAACTGATGGCTAGGGTTTCTCACGTGATGCAATGCCTCCGCCGGTCACACCCCTCACGAATATATAAGATCCATCACTCGGGCCTCCAAGGCCCGTAGGACTCCTATTCGGATCCCTATCCGAATTAAGCTCATATTGGATCTCCATCCAATCCCCTTATTCCGGCCCATTAAGCGTGCGACCTTGTAGGTTCATGTATACTCGGCTGTAACCCGAAAACTCCTTTTCGGTCCACGCGTCAACAGCGGCCCCTAGCAGAACATATTGACCCACCGGGCATACATAAAGATCATATCGGCTGAACCTCTAGTGTATACTTGTATGAACCCCTTTGCCTCACGATATCGATTAAACTCAAGGCTAGATATGTGCCATCCTCTAATAGCTCAATCATTCAATCGAACCTGTTAATAGATTATATAACTTGTGATTGACTCCTCAATCACCTTTGGCATGGCCATGCACTTCCATAATCTACAACATTGACCGCAACAGCAGCAACTCTTGCTCCATTGCCCACGCGAATGTCCACTTTGCCTCTTGCTAAGTGTCACGCCCAGAAATTTCCGAATAGAATTCCAAGCAGAATGTGCATTTAAACCCCCGTCCAGGACCGGCCGGGGTACACAAACGACAAAGTTGACAAACAGATCCACGTCTTACAAACATTATAAAAGTCTTACATAAATGCAGCGGAAAATTAAAAGATAAATGGAGCTAAGCCTTGACTTGGACTGCAGCGGGAACACCACTCCATAGGCATCCTCGACGGCATGGACGAAGCCTACTCCTCGGAGAAGCCGCCATCTGACACGCACTCAATCTTTGGGGTTTTGGGGAAAATAGAGCAAGACTGAGTACAACCACCATACTCAGCAAGTCATACCGGAATAGAGGGTATGATGCAGGATATAATCAAAGGATAGATAGAGCGGTTCATTTGCATAAATCGAGCATTTATAAACAGTAGTTGAAAGCAGTAAAATAGTTGTAATAATTAATCAATATTAACCATCCACTGTCCAACGCTACACCACGTTGCAACAGGCCCAACCATCCACCTAAACTACTCAATTCCATTAGACTAAGCTAGGGTGAGACTAATCACGGTGAATCTGGTTGACCGCCCGTAACCGCGGGCACGGCTATTCGAATAGTTTTACTCTGATCAGAGGTGTACAATTGTACCCACAAGACACAGCCCCGCGACACGTTTCCGTGTGCCGACATGCCACCATGACATACCGGAAAGAGGCCGTGACAGGACCCTTCGCATAACCCCCTCTAACCAAACACACCACACCTTAGGTTTCACCCCCACTCCTCGCAAGGCAGCGGGCAGTCCCCTCTTGTGCCTAGGTGAATCCGGAAGCCGCATAGGCCGTCGCAGGGCCCATCCAAACTCCATCACGCCCACCCTTGCCTGGATGCGTTAGCTAGAGGAAAGCTACACTACAAGCCCAGCCGTTGCCCACGCTAGCTTGTGGTAAGTACGAGGAATTCTTTCAGGGTTTCCCGCGAACCGGTCCTTAAGTGCCATGGGCGTGACTATCAAAACCATGCACCCACAGCCGACAATTTAATACATTTTAATTAACCAACACCGGAGCGGTGGCAATAACCAACATCATTACTAGAATCTGATACCTATGGATTAATGTAGTCCCCCATTTTGTACTAGTTGAACTAAGCATGGCTAAGCACTTCCTAATCCAACAGCGAATCATTTTACAACCCCAAGCTAACAAAGGAGCGAGGTACAAAAATAGCATGGCTGTAACAGTAGGTAAATATCCCATAGTAACAATTTAAAACAATGTAGTATTTAAGGGAAAACGGTAGAGCATTTGCAATATATGTTCAATATGTTCAAGTGACAAGCATGACTTGCCTTGCTCTGCTGCTGGAGGAACCTCGGCGACTATTTCAAAATACACCGGAGCGTTGGGAGAGCAGGAATCTAAGCGACATACAAAGCAAACAATACAAACAGGCCATAAGACTACTGAAACAGAGAACAAAACCATTTTTAATAGATTCTATGCATTTTTTCTTGATTTACTAAGACTTGAATGGGCTTAAACGGAGCTCGGATGAATTTTCTATGAATTTTAGAAGATTCACTGTGTTTTACTATAAAGAGAAAAACCTTAATTATTTATTGCGCAATATATCCCAGGGCTGACGTCATCAAGGAGGGGGCGGCGCCGACATGCGGGACCCCCGGGTCAGTGACTCGAGAGAGAGGGAGGGGGCGCCGGCACGTCGGCCCCACTGGCAGAGGCACAAGGCGGGAGGGGCGCGGCTGGTGGCTCGGCTCGGCTTCAAAACCGGCCAGCGCAGCATGGCGAGTGGCGGCGGCACGCGCGGTCGCCGGCGACGGCAACCGGCTGCGACCGACAACAAGCGGCGGTGCGCGATGGCACCGTGGCTAGAGGCGGCACCGCGACGACACGGCACCGCGACGCGACGGCGGCGCGCAAGCGGCGAGCGGCGGAGAGAAAGGAGAGGAAGGGGAGGGCCTCACTGACGATGAACGAGGGCGACTAGTGACGGAGGGAGGTCGGCGAACAGCGGGCAGCGTCGGGAGAGACATAGGGAACACGATGAGAGAGGTTAGAGGGAGAGAGGGAGTCCACGGCGCACAGCATAGCCGGCCAAAGGCGATGGTAATGGAGATGCTCATCGACGCTTGGGGAGAGGCGGGCTCCGGCGGCGGACTTTGACGGAGGAGGGGTGGACGAGGTGGACCTCGACCACGCGAACCCGACGGTGGCAGTGGTGCGGTGCGGCGGAGGCCCTAGCGGTGGCTAGAGGTGGCCGGAGTAGTGGAAGAGGCGGCGGCGGATGGGTGCACGGTGCGGGAGCGGTGGAGAGCTTGGGAGAGGCTGGCGGAAAAAGGAAAAATGAGGAAGAGGATGTGGGGATGGATTATATAGGGGCGGAGAGGTCGAGAACAGCCGGGAGTGGCCCGATTTCGCCGGCCGACGTGGGGAGGTGGAGGTGGAGAGAGAGGCGGGATTCGAAATTCGAATCCCGACCATCTCGGGGTCGCGGGTGAGCGGGAGAGGGGGTTGAGGGGCGCGGGAGGGGCGGGTGTGGCCAACGTGGCGCGGGGAAGGTGGGCGCGGGCGGCGGTTGCCGGCCCGGGGGGGAGCGGCTGGAGGTTGGGGAAAGGGCTGACAGGTGGGCCCCACCTGTCAGTGCCCGAGGGAGTGAGGGGGGCTCAGGCGAGCGGCTGGGCCGTGGCCTTCGGCCGGCCCAGCAAGGGCGCGGGAGGGGGAGGAAATGGGCTGGCGGCCCATTTGGGAAAAAGGAGGGGGAAAAAGGGAAAAAGAAAAAGGGAAAAGAATTTCCAGGGATTAAATATTGCTTGTGCTCGTTTTTAATTGCTTAAAATTATTTCCAGAGCTTTGAAAATTCCACTAAAAATCTTGTTAGTATATTTCGACATGTAGAACTCATGAAAAAATTGCACATGCCAATTCCGTTTATTATTTGCATTAATTTATTGGGGTTTCTCTCTTGCTTTTACACCGATATTTTCTCTAGGTGATTTATAAATTCAATTTAGGCTTGGGAAAGGAACTTCAGGGTGTGACAAACCTACCCCCTTAAACGGAATCTCGACCCCGAGATTCGGAAGAGCTGGCGAAGAGGTGCGGATGGGCGGCCTTCAACTCATCTTCCCTTTCCCAGGTTGCTTCTTCCTCTGAGTGGTGGCTCCACTGAACCCTGTAGAACCTGGTGACCTTGTTTCTAGTCCTCCTTTCATTGGTCTCAAGGATGCGAACTGGCTTCTCCACATAAGTCAGATCTTCTTGGATATCGATGTGCTCCGAATTGGCTTGTTCTCCCAGTACCCTTAAGCACTTCTTTAACTGAGACACATGGAACACATCATGTATACCGGCCATGTTGGATGGGAGTTCTAGCTGATATGCAACTTCTCCTCTTTGTTCCAAGATTTTGTATGGTCCCACGAAGCGTGGTGCCAACTTGCCTTTTATCTGGAAACGGTGCACTCCCCGGA